ATCATAGCAGAACTTACAGGCATGAACATCCCTCCAGACTCTTAGGAAGCACACAGCACTACAACAACAAAGGATGCATTACCGTTTTCTCTCTAAATGAGAAGAACCCTTCCTACGTTTACAGATCCTAACAGCAGTTCGTGAAATGCCAAGGACCCACAGGTAAACCACAGAGGAACTAAGACTTTATGAAATGGTAGGCATTTGTGTGTGTGTGTGTGTGTGTGTGTGTGTGTGTGACAAGCCCCTGGCCTTCTTCTATAGCGAGGGCCTGTGGTTTTGGACATGTTTTCAGAGACATCTATGATTCCCAAGAGGATGAGATGCACTGGTCCTGAGGAAGAAAAGATGGAGAAAGTATGACAGAGTGTGGTCACAGCATCTCTCTTCCGAGAAATGCCAGGGAAGATCCTAGTGAGGTCCCTCCAAGTCAGAGATGGCTACTACAGAGCCAAGGATGCTGGGGCAGCGGGAAGAAGAGCAGACATCTTTCTTGTAGTGTGTACACCTCGTGATCCCCGTGCTGCCTCTGTTAGCTTGGCGGTCCGCTCAGGTTCACTGCCATCTGCTCATGCCAGGTGCATTCACTCTGCAGCTGGAGGGGTGAATATCCCTTCTGGCTCACATTTGCAACATAGGCCAGGAGGCATGGGGTCAGGGGTATGGCCCCCCTACTTTCCACTCATGAACTAGTTCAGGAAGTGCCCACGCCTCCTTCTCCTTACAAACACACGTCCTATCTTGATTTGGCTAAATGGGAAGCCATCTTGGAACCAGTATGTAAAAAAGCAGCTGAATGTTCTTCCCTATTCTGGATGGTCTGATGTGGAGAAACTTTAAAACCACCACTCAAAACCATTCACTTGCCTAATAACTAACAAGAGACAAAATTTATAAATATTTTAAAGGAGGAAAGGGCCTTCTTTTTTCCCAGCACCAAAACTATTCTCCATTACAATTTATTCCCCAATTACCCAGCCAGAGCACACCTGTGGAACACAGGTTTCTCTCCTTTGCACATTTACCATTTACCATCCTATATGTAATGACTCTCCTTCCTGGCAGAGTCACCATTAGGATTAATAATGACTGTATTATATCGGTCATCCCTACCAGGATGCATGGGAGAGTGGGGAGGCTCATGCCAGAACAAGAGATGAGATCAAGGGGTAGTGACATTGTTAGCACAAGCTCAACAAACTCAAGGGCTTTGCTTTGCTTCTTTTCAGCCCAGATCCTCCCTTTTAAAATAAGCACCAGAACATGCAATATGCTCACTAAGATACTCCTGAGAGCCAGCGGTCAGCACCAGCAGCTGGAGTGTATGGTAGAGTTCAAGCTCTGGTCCTTACACACCAGTCACTTGACTTCTACTTCCTGTGTGTATGTAACTCCCTTGACCCCCTGAGCTTCCAGTTCTACTCTGGTCAGACAGTGCTGACCATAACCATAGCCTGTCTCACTTGACTGGGCAGGAATGAGGTCACTCACAGTGCCTGCAACACAGTGAGAGTGGATGAACAATAAGGTAGACTGTGCTTAGTGTATGTTACACAGAAATCACTTCCCCGAGGACATAAATCCGGGGATGGGGACACTGTCTACCGGCACCCATCTCATGGGTACAGCGGGAGCCACCTCATCTCTGCAGAAAGCTTACCCAGCCTTGTCTAACCCTGAAGTTGGCCCTAGCCCAATACTGGCCTATACTCTCCGCCGACACCCAGGGAACTGCCTTTTTCTCAAGGATAAGGGGGTTCCAGTGTGGTTACTGTGCACATCGTCTACTCTGGTAAGAAAGCAGGGCCACTAAGAGAAAAGACAATAGACAAACAAGAGAGGTGACATGGAGGGCAGGCCTAGAGCCACTCATGCTGCTCTCCCTACTCCCCACTTCAGTCGTACTTTTGCCTTTCATGAGTACTGGGCAAACCATTTTGGGAGGAGCCTATGAGCCAGGAACCAACTTTGGCCCACGTTATTCTGAACTGCAAATGCAACCAAGAGGCTCCCAAGAAGGACAGCGTGACCTGTAGAGGGCTAGGAGCCATGATAGACAGTATCCTAGGACAAAATTACTTTTACTTAAAGGAGGAACAGATGGGGGAAGAGGAGAGAAAAAAGGAAGGGAGAAGGAAGAAAAGGAGGAGAAAGAGCAGAAAGAGGGAGAAGAGGAGGAGGAAGTAGAGGAGGAGGAAAAGGAAGGGAAGGAAAGGAAGCCTTCACCAAAGCTCATGTGCTAGGCACTGAGCTGAGCACTCTTCCTGCACTGTATCATCTGTCCCTCATGGGTACTGTTCAGTGGGCATCATATTTATCCAACCTTATGGAGGGGAGTGGTGAGGTACCCAGGGGTACCTTCTTGAGGCTACACAGTCTAAAGCACATCAATGCTGACCTAACAGCCCTTCCATCCCAGATGACCAAGCCAAGCCAATGATCATAGTAACACTCGGGAGTTAGAGCAAGAATAGGAGTATGGCCTTCACAGACCAACCTAGAAAGAAGTGCTTGGACTTTGGGCATCCTTCCACTCCTGCTCAGGAGGCACAGCCTTAAAAGGAAGCTGATGCTGACCACAAGAGGAAGCAGCCCTGACAGGTGCCACAAGAGTAGAGCTCTCGGGTAAGATGAGTTTGAACTTCAGGTAAGCAATGACTTACATCTTAGTATATATGTCCCCTCCACTGCATGGAAGGTACTTTGATCCTAAAATAGTATTCAATTCACTGGCCACCTAATTTCAAGTCTACCTGAGTACCCTGCACTTTTTTTTTTCAAACATGCCTCAACAGAGAGAAAAGGTACTGACAACCTCAGGAGACTATTGACCACACAGCCCGTTGTCTGCACCATCTCAGAGCTTCTGGTCCCAAAGGCCCTCACATCCTTGATCAGCTGCACAGGTCAGAATTCTGTCACTTGCACCCCATCCTGTATCCCATGGGGCTGGTCAGTGATTTCCAAGCCAGGCAGGAAGGCTGCTCTGCTGAAGCTCCACTACCATATTAATTCCCAAAGGGATGGGAACGGAGCACCATATTAAAAGCCACAGTGCTCATGTTTGGCACCTTGAACTTGTATTTTTAGAACGGTAAAGATGCAGCTTGACAGACTTACTGGAATTTATCAGATTCTTCCCAGTCAATGTAAATGTGTCATTATAAAGTCACAGAATGTGAATGCACTTAAAACTGGAAAACTCCTTCATGAATACTAACAAACTCTGAAATCACAGGGAAGATGACTGCCTACAGCTATCAAAAACACCCAGCAAGCCAAGATTAAGGATTTCAGTGTTTTAAATGGTAATGATAAACTCCCATGTAATTTTGTTTAGAAAAAAACATCAATTAGCCACACAGAAAAATTAGACTTTAGATCAAACATGGAGCATATAAGCTAGTCACATAGAGCAGGAAGGAGGATAGGAGTGAGCCGCGTTGGGCAGGTGGATGTGGACGGCGCTGCTATTTAAGAATAAGAGCCATGTGTATGTGTATCTCGGGGGGAGGGGGACTGTTTGCCAGAAATCTCAAGATAATAAGCCTACAAATTTTATATGCAATACTTTATACATTAACAATCAACTGTGTTCACTGACACCCATGAGTTAAGGACACAGGATGTTGGGGTAACGTTACAGCTGAGGACAGATGGTTGCTGTATTCTGGATTATGCCCCCCAGTCCTGCTCAAATGAAGGGGCCTGCCCTCACAGAAGGTAGACCACTAGCATCAGCACCACCTGAGCACAGAAAAACCTTCCACACACAGCATGCGGCAGTATAGAAAAACTGCAGAGTTAACGGAGGTCTAGGAAAGTTGCCTTGGGAGAAAGATCTCTCCCTCTCTCCCTCCCTCCCTCCCTCCCAGTCACACACACACACAAACACACACACAAAGGAGTGAGTTCAAATTAATCCATAAATTAACAGATTTAGTAAACTTACAATTAACCAACATTTAAAGAAAAAAAATTTGAATGAAATGAAATTGAGTTACCCCCTTTTTATCATCTATCAAATTTATGTATTCACATTTATCAATTTAATGAAGCAATTTTCACAAAATTCCAATAGGATCTGTGTGGGGAGAACAAAAGAAGACATGCTAAACCATTGCTCAGTTTTATCTGAAAAAAATAAATAAATATGAAACATTTGAACAGAAAGAAATACGGCAAAAGGACTGACCCAAACAGACATAAAAATCAAGGCAAAGCCAAATATTAGAATCATGTAGGGCAACCACAGGCCTGTTGAGGAGGACCCATGGAGCAAGCCAGAACTGACAATGTTCAGAAACAGGCACACGTGAGGAAGTAAGAAAAGGGGTTGATTGATAAACAGGGTTGGCTACCTGCAGAGAAAAATAAGAAAACAGCTTGGGAGTTTTGTTAGAAGATGTGTTTGAAAGTCTGAAATGACAGCCCCCCTTACTTAGGGAACCACACGGAGATGTCTGCTCTTTGATCACTTCCCCCTGACGATGCGGCCTTGCCAAGCCATAGAGAAGGGATCCAGGCAGTCCTGATGAGGCTTGATAAGCTAGGGTCATATGGCAGGGGAGGGAGGAAGAGTGGGACTGGGAGGAGATGAGGGAGAGGGCTACAACCAGGATATAAACTGAATAAATTGTAAAAACATAAAAAAATAAAATACAAAAATAAGTAAAAAAGTCTGAAGTGAAGGTCATACCACAGAACAGCATGTCTTTCTCAAGCAGTAAGGAGCTGCCACCATGAGCCCTCAACTCCCAGCTTCCCAAGGGAATTCTCCCAGAGTCCTGGGAGCTGGTGTCTCCCTACACCTTACTGGGCTGGGCTCAGTATCCCTGCTGCCTCTCCTGACCCCTCAGACAACCGCATCCCCCACAGCTTAAAAGATTCCAGGAAAAGTTAAAAAGGAAGTTTGCTCTATACAGTTAGGGATTCCCAATTCTTAAAGATAACAGCCACACCAGATATAAAAATTGCTAGATACCAGGAAGAAACCTTACCTGCTTCCTCTTTTCAGGGGGAAGTGATGGGTCTCCATCCTACAGGGAAACAAATACTGTGTTTATTCTTGGAGAATAAAACATGTGCCAAGACTTACCACAGAATCTCAACCTCAACTGAACCAAACTGTGAATCTAAATTCAGACCTAGCCCCATCAGCCATGCAGCTAGCAAGGTGAGGAAGCCAGAGCAACAACACTTTAAAAATAACTACCACTTGATAGGGGACCCCTGAGAATCAGCTGCAATCAAGACCAAACATGTAGTTTCCAAAATGCTGTTTCTAAAAGAGAAATCTAGATGGGTCAAAATTACTTTGAGGCAGAGCATAAACTGAAAAATATTTCATTTGATCAAAGTTCTTTGAAGTAGAATAAAAGGAATAGTGACTGACATGCACACAGACATAAATGCATACACACACATACACATAAACATGCTTCCGCACACATATACAGACACACATGCATATACATCTAAATCCACATAGGAACACACACACACACACATGTGCACACATCCACACACATAAAAATATTGCATATGCACATAAACATGTTGCATGTGCACAAACATGTCCATGTGTATACCTATGTATGCCCAAACACATACATATAAACAAGCGCAAATGTGAAAACAGACATATAACATGTATACACATATGAACATGTAAACACACATGCAGATATATGAAAAACGCTCATACACACTTATAAATTCACATATGCACATACACAGACATACACGTGAAAGTGCACACACAGAAACACACAGGCACACATGAATTCTACGCAAACATGCACAAACACTTGTATATTACTTATGGGCAGAATAATCAAGGTAAGGAAATTTGCTTAGATAAATAGCACTAAGAATTTTTAGTTCTCTTAGGCATCCTGACTTATAAAAGTTGAATTCTTCTCCCATTTGCGCTTTTGGGAACGTAAATATCTCAGAAGAACAAATAAAAACCCACTAAATAAGAACCCATTATTATTATCATTATCATTATTATTATTATAGTTTTAAGAAGACAGGGTCTCTCTATGTAGCCCAGGTTGGCCACAAACTCCCCATCCTCCTGTTTCAGCCTGCCGAGTGCTGAGATTACAGATGTGTGCAACCACACCCAGCTAAATAAATATTCTCACCTATCCACCATCACCTACGCAGGTAAGTTACTTCAATTTACGGAATATCTATACTTCTACTCCAGGGCAGTTCACTGATCCCGGGAAAATGACGAAGTGTTAAGAATAGAGCCTGCACTTCATAGAAGCTGGGCACACACCTGTAGTCCCAGGCCTTGGGAAATGAGCACGGAAGGAGCACAAGTTAAAGGCCAGTATGGACCACATAGTGAGTTCTAGATCAACCTGGGACACAGCAACAGCATGTTGACAGAAGAGAGGCATCACATCAGTGAGGGAAAGGAAACCAGGAACACAGCTGCACTGCACTTCTGTCTAACTTACATCCTTTTAAAAAAAAATCCATACAAAACCCAAGAGAAAAGTCAAATCACCCAGAATATAGGGGACGGCCACAACTGTGGGTGTGTCCCAGCCTTGGGGACTATGCGTAAGCTCCGGAGGTGATGGGATCATTATTCTTGGTTGTCAGCTTGACTACATTTGGAATTAACTAAAACCCAAATGGCTACGCACACCTGTGAGAGAAGGGATCCACTTCCATTCTGGATCCCCGAGGTTAGAACACACACCTTTAATACAGATCTTTTGCTGTGGGCAGGTCATGCAGCCAGGAAGTATATACACGTAGAGCAGGTAGCAGGAAAAACAGGTAGCACACACATTTCTCCTTTTAAACTTTTGTTTTGTGTTTGTCTGCTTGTTAGCTCACTTTCTTGAGACAGGTTCTTAGGCCTCTAAACTATGTAGCCTCAAGTCCTGATCCCCCTGCCTCCACCTCCCAAATGCTGGGGCTACAGGCATCTACCTGGCTACTGGTGAACTGCTGGGAAGCGGTAACTTCCCAAGAGCACACCACATTCCGTTTCTTGTCTTTAGAGAGGGGGCCAGACTTACAATCAGCTCTCGATACTTCTTCTTCAGGGACTGGTGTCTCTCTCGCAGCTGATTAGCCATGAGTTTGTACTGGTCCCTCTCCTGCTGGCACGTGTCCAGCTCCTTGGAGAGGATCAGCAGGGCCTCCTTCTTGCTCTCCAGCTTCCGCTTACACACCAGGTACTGCAGAACAAACAGCCACCGGTTAGGAATGGCAGGTGGGCTTCCACACCCCCCAAGCACGCTCTGCCCCACACACTGCTCCGGAGAGAACCCCAGGCTTCCACAGACACGTGGCTCTCATAAGATAGCCATGCCTTACTGTCCGTGAACTTTCACAAACTGGAACAGATACAATAATTTATTTGCAAGTTAAAAAGGAGAACTGTAAGCCAGCAAGATGGCTCAGTGGGTCAAAGCACTTGCCATGAAACCCTGGTGACCTGAGTCACCTAAGCCCACAATGCAATGAGAGAACCAATTCCTAACTTCATCCTCTGACCTCTACACATATGCTGCGGCACTCACACACCATACACATATGATGATAATAAAGTAGAACTATTTTTCAAATTACATATATAGATAAATAGATGTCTGGATGCCAGATTTTTCTAATATGGCATATATATCCAGATTGAGATTACGTGAAATTGTATTAAAATTTTATAAAGTGATACACATAAACACATTTAATGAAAAATTTATAAGTATTGATAGGAATAATCTCTTGTTAGTAATGTCTTTCTCTCGAGCTTAAAATTTTTTTTCCTTATGCTTTTCTGTCTCTTTTTTTCTAAATTTTTGAGTATAAGTCCATCTGCTGTCAATCATAAAAATGCCTTCCCCCAAAAATTACAAAAATCATTTAATTGAACCACAAATCACTTCATGTGATCATTCCCACCCATGCAAACCAGCAGCCATTTTCCCCTGGAGAATTTGCTCACTGGCCAAACTGTAAAAGCTCTGATGTGTACTAGTCTGTAAAACCTCTCCTAGGAGCAAACCTAAGTGCCTATCCATCACCAGAGACCGATTTCAAGAGCTAAGTATTTTTGCCATACTCCAGACTCTCCCCACCAACAGCCAGGCCTCCGGCCGGGACTCCTGCCTTCAAGCTACAGCATTTCTGCATCTCTGCTTCTCCCTCCAGCCCTGCACCGGGAACGAGGCTCAGCCAACAGTCCCACCGTGGTGGCCTGTGTGAGCCCCGGAGCAGATGCTACTTCCACTGGATATATTACACTGCCTGGCGTTATTCACATATGTGAAATGTGGCACTAAATACCTTTTGAATTTTCCCTATAAAAGACCAAATTCAGAGCATTCATGAAAACAATTTATAGTTTCATTATACACCCTGACACGAGCGCTTTGTCACTGTGGACGTTACTCCCCTACCATTTGAGCCAGTGCTCTTTACAGACAAAAAGCATTACTCATATATAGTGCTTGCTCAGAACCGACTTTGTTAAGTTCAATTTCAAATAAATGAAAGGGGGGGGTAGAGAGTCTTCTGCATTAGCACATTTTTTTTTCCTTAAAGGAAAAAAAAGAGGGAGAGAGAAGTAATTGGTTAGTTTCAAAAACAAAGGGGGAAGAAAAGCCGTGCTGAGGCAGATTTGAGTTCCCAGGGAAGACACTTCACCTGGGTGGAATTCTATTCCCCACAGTAATGAGGTTGGAATCCCGCCTTAAAAAAAACACTCTGGATTTTGAGATTCTGACATTGTCTGCCAGGCGGCAAAATGGTCCTGTTGCCACAGCGATTTCTCAAGAGTCAAGTCCACGACAACTGAGTAGCAGAGGTGAGCGGCTGGAAACCCGAACTGCGTGTCCTGAGGGCGGCGCTGAGACCTCACAGAGGAAAACGTCATTGCACGCCGCCTAACCCAGCGGCCCTTGTCCTTCTCTTTCCCCAGTCAGCAGTCCCCGTCGCCAGGGCTCTGGGTGTCAGTGGCTCAAAGACTGCACTTATGGGATTCATACCTAAGGCCCCAAAGATGTCCAGTGCCTTTGACTTTAGGGAAGAAAATCTCAATTGTATCAAGATATTTCAGTAAGTAAACTTGTGTAGAACAGCCTTCTTATGAAGGAGGCAGGAAAGGCTTCCTCTTACTGGGAAAGCAGAAATTTGGGTTCCTGACCTTGAATGATCCCAGAAAAAAAAAAAAAAAAGCATTTTTCTCCCAAAGCATGGTCCAACTTGAAAGTTCTAAAAGGCAGAGAGGAAAACTTCGGGCTCTACAGAACCTGGTAGAAGCCAGATATGGAAGCCTTGATAAGCCACAGTGGCCCAGAATTTGAGAAGCAAGAGTTCTACGTGTTTATTCCTAAGCACACAGGAGAGGTGACAGTACAAACCTCATCTCAAAGCAGGGCTCAGGGACCATCATGGAAGAAGGGGAGAAAGAGCCGGACTAGGGGAGGAGGGCTCTGAAATGCTGGCGTGGCCTTCACACTCACGAACTCACACAGGACCCGGCCAGCAAGATCCACCACCGTTCCAGCAGGCAGGACTAACTGGACTCAGCGGTTTACAAAAACGACAAAAGAGGACATGAAGGCGTGAAGGTGGGAAGGGGACACGCTTCGAGGGGTCTGGGGGCGTGACAGAGAAATTACGTTACAAAAATTATATATCTATTTTTATAAGTATTTCTTTATAAATAAATATTTGTATATTTATTAATATACATATATTTATGTATGTACATTATATATAAAATATATACATTTCGTTATATAAATTTGTATATATAGTATATTTATGTTATATGAATTGTTACTTCGATTGTAATTAATATATATAATTTATCTATTATTACATGGAAAAATCATGTACAAATATATTATATACGCGTACAAAGGAAGCAGAAGCAATCTGTGCAGAAAATGAAGCGACCCTGAGAAAAGGGTGGGCCTAAAGAGTGAGCTCTCAGCTGTCCTTCCTCGCTTCTGCTCCCTGTAGTCTAGGGAACTGGTTGTTAAAAGCTTTAGCTCCTGTTATTTGTTTTTATCATCAGGATAAGCCTTAGGCTGACGCCTCACTTATAAAGCAACCCAAAGTGGATCTGCGTGCCGAGCTGGCAGAGGGAAGATTTGTCTTAGACAGCCATTTGCATCCGCGGGCAACACGGAGGACACAGAAGCCCAGTGTCAGTGGCTCTAAGATGCACAGGTTTAACTGATGTGGGAAGACCTAGGGGCTGCTGCAGTGTGCAGGTGGAGGGTGGAGGCTGAAGAGAAGTGTGCAGGCTGTCATTGTTCTCTTTTCCTGACTGCACACACAGGCTGAGCTGCTCCAAGCTCCTGCTGCCTTGATTTCCCCACCATGATGGACTGCAAGCTAAAACTGACCCTTTCTCCCCTGAGTTGCTTTTGTCAGAGTATCTTCTCACAGCAACAGTAAAAGAAACTAAGCCAGTCACCTTGTCTGCTTTTCCTGTCCTTCCCGTATTGTGACTTAGAGCTGAGCTATACTTGGTCTTAGAGGCTGGTTCCTTTTCAGCATCTCCCCTGTGACATTAGAGACTTCATCTTATTCATTCCAGCTTCCCAGTGCTGCGGAAAATGCCTGGCACGCAGCAGGTGCTCAATAAATGTAGATATGTATATGTATAAGGCATAATGCTGAAATGAGATAGCGCTTTATTTTCCTCCTTTTTCCTCTCTGTAATGTGCACATGTATAACACACATGGAATGAGAAGAATGTACGCACATGGACACTATTCCCATGGATGGAGGAGAAACCTTCACATATTATCTAAAGCTTCAGCAGACCCATGGCAAGTGCAGTGCTGCCCCATTTTTCAAGTTCCCTGACTCTCTTGAGGCATCACCTAGACCAAGCTCTTTAATGTACAGACGAGGAAACTGGGATCCAGCATCGAGAAGTGACTTATTCAAAGCTGGCTAGTCAGAGCTAAGCTGTAAACTATGCATTTGTCTCCAAGGTCAGGGCTCTTTCCGGCTAGCAAATGACTTCAAGTTCTCAGCAAGTAAGAGAAAGGAAGAAAGGAAGGGAGGGAGGGAGGGAGGAAGGAAGGAAGGAAGGAAGGAAGGAAGGAAGGAAGGAAGGAAGGAAGGAAGGAAGGAAACACCATGAGTTCAGAATGTTGGCTGGGGGTTTTGTTATGACCACAGTAGGCCAGTGATGATTATGATGATGATAATTCATGTGAGAATATTCCATGCTAGTCACCCACTGTAGTGCCCAGGACATTACTAAAAGGGATAGAACCTCCTCCCCCTCCCCCTCCCCCTCCCCCTCCTCCTCCCCCGGGGGCAATGCAGGATGCAGCCATGGTGGAAATCCTGGCAAAGGAACTAACGTGTCTGAGCTCCAGTCTTAGCTTTGCTACTTCCTAGCTGAGTGATCAGCCGGTTAGCCACCCTGTGCCCCTACTTCCCTGTTTATCAAATGGAGATGGAAACAGCACCTTCACTGGGTTGCCATGAGAATGTAAAACGTTACATTTGTGAAACATCTAACGCATTAGCTGTAATTGCTGTGACTTCCACTCAGATCACGCAGAGTGAGATGAGTGGGGAAAGCTTGGAAGCGTAGGTGTTCACTGGAGGCGGGTGACATGTGACGGAGCCTGTAGGTTGCTGGGGGTGGGGAAGAGGGCACTCTGAGAGGCAACTGGAAGCAGGTAAACAGAGCTCACAGCAGAGACACTGTGGTATGGGGCTTCCTAACTGGGGTTGGACAAAAGGGGGCGAAGGTGGGGCTGGCAAGGGGTGCTCTTTGGGGTGAAGGTAGAGAGACAGATGAAGGCTAAGGAAGACAGATTTGGTTGAGCAGTTCAGACTCTGTTCTCTCAGGATTGAGAAGGCCAGGTTCTCTAACTATGGGAAGATCATGGGGAAAAGAAAGTTATCCCATCATCAGAGGTGGCGAGTCACATCAGCATGGGCACAATCTGCCATGAAGCCCACAGCAGGAGGAGAAGGCACGGGGACTTCGGGTATCAACATCATTGCACTGTGCAGTATGATCTGCCCCAGCAGGCCCCCGGAGAACACGCTGGCTCTGCTGCTTCTGAACGTGGTCCAGCCTTACTTTTTCTAAAACCATGTGGTTAAATGGGGCACTCCCTGGACCACCAGACACCAGACACACATGGAGTCGGCCTCAGCCACAGAACCTAAGATGGGAATCATATCAGTGGG